CTCCACCATCAGTCATAATGGGCCCCTTGCCAGCTGTGAGAGCAGGATATGTGAATGATACATCACTGGTACATATGGTTTATTCATATCAACTCTACTATCAGTCTCTACAGGCCCTGTGCCAGCTGCGGGAGGGTACTGTATGGATACTTATATAAACCTCTACTCCACCATCAGTCATAATGGGCCCCTTGCCAGCTGTGAGAGTAGGATATGTGAATGATACATCACTGGTACATATGGTTTATTCATATCAACTCTACTATCAGTCTCTACAGGCCCTGTGCCAGCTGCAGGAGGGTACTGTATGGATACTTATAAAAAAAACCTCTACTCCACCATCAGTCATAATGGGCCCCTTGCCAGCTGTGAGAGTAGGATATGTGAATGATACATCACTGGTACATATGGTTTATTCATATCAACTCTACTATCAGTCTCTATGGGCCCCATGCCAGCTGCAGGAGGAGGGTACCATGTTATATACACAACCACTCATGCCAGCTGCAAGAGTAGGGTGTGTCGACGGATCAGTATTAGAGGTACCATTAGTCCACTTGTAGATTGTGATAGTTAGATACGTGGAGTGACCCACACTGTCACCCCAACCCCACCACACAGGGACCTTGTTATAGCTCCAGCAGTGAGGATTTTCCATAATCTATCTACCACTCCAGCAACTGGGTGCTAGTAAGTGGCAAGGGTCTCCCATGTTCCACTCAATGAGGGGGGGAGGGGGAGAATTCACACAGGTGAGATCCAGAGATTGTGCCTGGATCCTCACTGGTCTCTCTGTATGGAAAGATCTTTTACTATAAACAGTACAACAAGTGACTGGAAAACCCTATACTTAAAAGCCGGCAAGTGCTAGCCATAGAAGTGGGCAGAAACACTACTTCAGCACTACCTTTTATCAGGATAGCCCTTGGAATGAGTGTGGTCTGGATCAAACATGTAATATAGATAGATATAGTAATACCATGAGGAAAACTCAAGAGGTCTTGCAGAACAACCCAGCTCACAGTGGGCACTTGTAGAGGTAGAGTGAATGACATGAGCACTTTCTGTTATCCAGGCTCGATGCAGAATTTCAGGTAAGTATAACCTAGGAGACAATCCTAGCAACCTAGTGCCTAAAGAGTTCCTATAGTAAATAAGAAATGTGTAAGAAAGAGTATGAACACTTACCAGTTTAAAAATAAAAGTGGATTGAAGGATGACTATGAGTGGAAAGTCTAAAATTCCTAAGGAGACAAGACAGCCAGGTGCTAGCCTAGAGAAAAGCATCAAAAGTTGGTTAAAAAGAGAAGAAAAAGCTAGAGCACGTGGGTGTTGATGAATCTGATGAGAAGAGACACTAAAGAGCTTATGTTCGTACACCTCACAGAGGAATGGAATGAATGGATGATCAGGTAGAACCATTCTGAAGGGTGGAAGGAAAGAGAACCCAGGAATAGAAGGGGACCTATGGAATGAAAATGACAAAGACTGGAACCCCTATAGTAGGGAGAGCAGGACAAACAATAAACGGCCTGGAGCATAGTGAAATGATATATTAAGAAAATGTATGAGAGAAAAGTGTGACCATCAAACTATGTTACGGAATGTTAGAAAAAGAAGGACTGACCAAGGAAAAAAGAAAGTAAGCGCAGTTTAAGAGTGGTAAATGGGAGATCAATAATGATAAATATGTCAGGTACTGTGGTACTTGGGACCAAAGCTATACCGAACAGAAAAGCACAAAACTGGAAATGTGATCCAGGTGGATGAATAGGAAAAAATGCATGAGAATTAAGTGACTGGGTTGGGTATAAAAGCATCCAAAACATAGATCTTGGTCAACTACAGACTGAGTTGAAATGACCAACAAAGAGAGAAATTCACAAATCTGATATTGTATGATGATGATGATGAAACAATAGAGGGAAGTACTTGGATGCCATTCCCCTATCTTTAAGGGGAGAACAGAATAACAAAAGAGAATATTCAGAGGAGGATCCCCCATGATGGGTTAATTCTCCCATAGTTCCAAAATCACCCTCCGTCAGACATAAAAGGTATGCAGGATCAGATGGGAGGTGAAAGGAAACCAGCTGGGACCAGGCAATTGGCAACTAGGCCAGCAAGTAAGGTGTTAGATGAAAGTGGGATGAGAAGTGGAGGATGGATGGTATACAGAACATAAGACCAATAATAGGAGAAGAGTTAGGACAAGGTACAGAATTAGTGGGTTCAGGTTGAAACAATTGGAAAAATTGAAGATGTGAGGGAAGATTGACTGAAATCAGCTGACATCAACAACACCAGGGAATCGAGGACACCACAAAATTCCACTGAATGAAAAGAAGGGGTAAAATGAAGATCTTGGAGAAAGGTAGAAGGGAGATGGACTTGACATAGGAGGGAAAAAAAAGGACCAAATTGTTCTAACAACAGAAGAACCACAGCAGAAGAGAAATGGCAGAGGAGGTGGAACAGACCATGCAAGCAAAAAAGGAGAGATCTACCACAAGCTTCTAGTTATCATAGTTTTATCCAATATTGCTCATCAAAATCCCAATTTTTGGATTTCAATGTTTTTATACCCAAGTTTTTGCACATCTTTTTCTGGTGAATGAAAACTATAATGTAATATTTCCTCCATCACAGGGTTCTCACTAAGGTTCCACAGTGAAGGGTCCCGGATTGCAGACTCTCAACTTTTTTTTTTTCAAGAGTCCCAGTGAGATTTTTCAGGGTTCTATTGGTAGAATTTAATAAACTCATAAAAAAGCAATTAAAAAATTATTTACAACATAAACTATATGTTTACCTTCTGCAGGTGGAAAAGGACATGTTAATATCCAATAAAAAACATTATTTACAATTCACACAACATGTTGTTTTCTTTTGTGTGTGCAAAGTAATTTTCATGATAAGATTAAAAAATGCTTTTCTTCATTTGAAAATTTTCAAATATCATTTGCATAACACCTAAATAAACATCAGATGGTTTTTTTTTCAGAAAAACTTTATATTTATCTGTTATTTTCTTTACCCTATAAAATTAGGAAATAATTAAAAATTTTCCCTATTTTCTTTCTGGAATGACTGCAAATTATAACAGAAATCCACAATTTTTCATCCTAAGTAGCTTAAAGCTTGTAACAGTATACATCTATTTATACTTAAATTTTATTGTTTTATTGCTCTTTGAACTGTGTCTAACTATTATTTGCACCATATAAATGGCAAATCATGTGCTGAACGTACAGCTTACATTACGGTATCGATTTACATAACTCACGGTCTACATGTGAGCATACCTCATAAAAATTATTATTAACATTATTATTTATTTTATTTTAGCTAACCTAAAAAGTTTTTCAATTTTTACATTTTAGTTACTTTTACAATAAAAATATGAAAAACAAGAAATAAAGTACTTACCTGGGTCTTTTTTCTTTTGCTCTCGACTGTTGATGAAACTAACCCTACTTTTTTAATACTATTTGTACTACTGCATTAAATAATTTTTAAATAATGCAACAAAGAACACTGAATACTAACAAAAGCCATTAAAAATTCAGCTAAGCTCATCGATGTGTTTCCCGTGTGAATAGTTATAATTGCAAGGAAAATAGACAAACCTCAGTACAGAAAACAACGTGATATAATTCATTATTTAATACAGAAAATCATTGTCTTTCTATTGGTTATAAAAAATATAGTCTTAAATGTTAGAGAGAACTATTGGCAAGTTCTGAAAGAGAGGATGTCACAGATGGGTGTGGCAAGAGGGGTCTGATTTTCCATTTTATTGCTCTGTAATTAAATAAGATTGAATGCTATGTATATTATGCTTTGCCTGAATGATGAAAACATTATAATGATAATTTACATTAACTTTCGTACTTCTCACAGGGGTGATAAAAAGAAATAGAGAAGATAGAGAACATAGATAACAAATGTCACAGTTCTCACATCAGAGGAGATTGAGAATTTTTCAAAATATTTCCTTATCAAATTGAAACTTCAAAAATACTAAACTTTGATTTATTATCTACATTCTGATACCAAGTTTATTCATATACATTGATAATAAAGTAGCTTAATTAAATTTTGAATGTAACTCTGTGAAAGGTTGTGACATGCACACTTTGACCTACCCAAGGTGAAAGAGTTAATCCTGTGGTACTTTCACTTGGCTTTATTTTGTGTTAAAAGTTGATTGTGGAAAGCTGCATGCAAACTGTATTCTGTTTAGTTTGTTATGGTACAAAGTACTAGTGCTTGCCTTGCATACGGGGCATCTTGCAATGTGTAACCAGTACCCAGGGGCATCAAATCTCATGCATCCCAACAAATTCTCGTGCATTAGAGACCCGGGAATTCGAGTTAACTAGAACCCTGTGGAATAAAAACAGCACAACACAAGTTTGTAGGTTTAACATTTGAACTATTTAGCTCATAGTACAAGTTTCAATGAACAGCTTTCTGACATGAAAGATTAGCAAGCAAAGTCCAAAGATTTATCAGGTCAAAATGGCATAAAATACTTTATGCATTTTCTAGTTTTCCAATTATGTAAGGATAACTAATTCAATATCAAGTGCCCATCATCTATAAAGGCAACAGTTTCATAAAGGTTGTTCCTATTTAATTATTCTATAGTATAGAGTAGGGAGTTACAATCTGCCTTACCTCGATATTCACAAAGGAATACTTTTTTTTGCTGTGAACTCCAGAGCTAATACTTTTTATTATTTTTATTTCACCTTGTTGTCTTTGATTATTTAAGCTCAAATCTTGGTACAAAAACAAACATAACCCTCTGCTGACTAAACCATTGTGTTACTTATCAAAATGACAGATAACATTGAGTTTAATAAAAAGGTGTTAACAAAAGATAAAAAGTTATATTAATATAAAAGATGGCGAGGAGAAGTACATTCACAGATACAATAAGTCTCCGCAATACAAATGATTTATGTTAGAAAAAGCTCAACTGTGTGTCTTACCCTAGTATTTTTAACAATTTCAATATTTTCTTCAGGAATATAAGTCATTTGAGGTGTCATCCTGTCCCTGGTGTCCACAAGTACAGCATAATTAGGCATTTGTAGCCAATGCTTCAAGGAGAAAAAAACTATCATTATTATTTATATAAAAGTTGACACTGAAAGTTTCACACTTCTGTAACTACCAAACATAAGATATATAAGATATTGTTACATATCTGGTCGTTTGTTAATTTCCTGTATAAATTCTTTCCGAGGAACTTCAACGATATGAGTCCTTCATTAATTAAAACTAGTTTATTCTTTCTCGACACAACTTTACAATACACTGAATTTCCACACTCACCTTAGCTTAACTACTTTTATAAACACACGCTATAATTCACAGCGATTCACACACTTTACTTACAGTGCCTACTGCTTGCTTACTCAGTTATCTCTATCAACAATCTATCTACATATCACTGGCTTATATACTAAAAAAGAGGGCATCTAGCAAATGCTGGGACATTTGTGAGGTTGCCCAATAAGTCACGATCCTTCTAGAAATTCCAGCGCGCATGCTCCCAGCATCGCATGACTTCTGCTGTTGTAACAATATAAATGAGTAGAGTCATGCTATTTTACACCAAAACAGAGATTGTGGAAATTATAACACCATTATGACAGTGACAAAGTTAAGTTCTTTGAATACAAAGAAAACGAAGATTTTGAAATTTATAAAACTATCAAGACAAGGATTTTTAAGTTACCACAGTATCAACACATAGGCTTTTAAAGTTGTGACTCTATCAGATAGTAAGAATGCTGAAATAGTGATATTCTTAAAACAATAAGGATTATGAAGTTAATGATACCATAAAAAAAATAAGTATGCTGGTAATGAATCTACTGAATTAGTAGTTTAACACTCACCCTACATTAAGTTATACTTTCCAAAATAATTTGATTAATTAATAAGATCAGGTACCTTAGTCCAGTGTTTCCCAAACGCCAGTCCACAGACCGGTACTCGACTTAATTTCTACCGGTTTGCAGCGTGTCTTGGTTTTTGAAAGGACTGACACTTATTTATGTTTATTTCAATATTTGATGACTAAAAGTCGCCTAAATCTACCTTTTCTTTTTTGTTTTCAAAATAAATTGTATTTTTTGGTAAATATCGTCTTATACTTCTAATGTAAACAACAGATATTTTATTTGAAATGTTAGTCCCCAAAAATGTTTTACTGGTCCATGATTACCAAAAGTCTGGGAACCACTGCCCTAGTCAATACCTTAAGAGGTTCACAAATATACAAACAAACTGAGAAATATTAACTAATAAATTAATCTAAACTGAAGCCATTATAGCCGACTGAAAATCTAAACTGGAGCCATTATAGCCGACTGAAAATCTAAACTGGAGCCGTTATAGCCGACTGAAAATCTAAACTGGAGCCGTTATAGCCGACCGAAAATCTAAACTGGAGCCATTATAGCCGACCGAAAATCTAAACTGGAGCTGTTATAGCCGACCGAAAATCTAAACTGGAGCCGTTATAGCCGACCGAAAATCTAAACTGGAGCCGTTATAGCCGACTGAAAATCTAAACTGAATCCGTTATAGCCGACTGAAAATCTAAACTGGATCCGTTATAACCGACTGAAAATCTAAACTGGAGCCGTTATAGCCGACTGAAAATCTAAACTGGATCCGTTATAGCCGACTGAAAATCTAAACTGGATCCGTTATAGCCGACTGAAAATCTAAACTGGATCCGTTATAGCCGACTGAAAATCTAAACTGGATCCGTTATAGCCGACTGAAAATATAATTTGAAGCTATTACAGCCAATGGAATTTGTATTAGTGCTCAACACTTCAAAATAGCTTTTTTTCTTCCCTAATCAAATTCTGATGTTTAAAAACTCCAGTAAATCATGATCAGCAACCAATATTAACCTGCTCTAATAGAAAACATGAATAAATCCATACAGCTCAGATCTTACAGCCTAATACTTGATCACTAGCAGATAAGATCAGTCATGTCAGGCTACAAAGAATGTATGTTTGTTTGTTTGTTTTGAATTTTGTGCAAAGCTTAACGAGGGCTATCTGCACTAGCCATCCCTAATTTAGCAGTGTCATCACCACCCACCACCAACTCTTGGGCTACTTTTTTACCAATGAATAGTGGGATTGACCATCACATTATAATGCCCCCATGGCTGAAAGGGCGAGCATGTTTGGTGTGACGAGGATTCAAACCCACGACCCGCAGATTGCGAGTGAAGCGCCTTAACCACCTAGCCATGCCAGGCCTACAAAGAATGCTAAGTAAAAATTAGTGATTGTAACATGTCTAGTCATATACAAACAGAGCTCGAATTAACTGGGGCTAGCCGACATAAAACCAGTGCATTCTAGCATTTACAATAGGTGATTAACACAAAATCAAAGTGAAAAACTGTGTATGCTTTAGATTTGATTATGTTTGGCAGGTCTTGGTTCAAAAATTGTACTGCTGCTAAATAACCATACCTATTTTCTTACAAAACTACAGAAACCCCAGCTTTGAAAATTTCAATGATCACAAATTGGATATCCACCACAAAATTAAAACTTGCATCTTAATAGAATTTGTTTCATTTTCTGTAGCTGGTTCTGAAAGGATTATGACATTAAAAAAAACTAATTTTAAAAACCATATGGAATAGACTCAAGGTTTCATCAATTTCATCTCTTTCAGCAGTGACGAAATCAAAGTAAAATCAAACATTATACCTCCTGGAAAACAAGAAACATGGTTATAATATAGTAGCATAATGAAATGCCATTTTATATGTAAATTACAAAAACAAAATATTTCTTCTTCATAACGACTTTAATCCCAACTACTTTGGGGTCTGCTGGAAATTTTGTAAGCCAAGAATTTTTACACCTAGGTGGCCAACCCAGACGGCATTTATATAGGACAGACATGTTTGGTGACGAAAATTCAAAATTACAGCCTTTCGGTTAAATGTTGAGCACTCTAACCACCAGGCCAGGCCCACAAAAGTAAGATATTTGGTACTCACAAATTCATTCTAATATTCAAGTTAATAACCAAGATTTTCTGCTAGCATGTTGTACATTATTATTAAAATATCTAGGTTATAACCCAAATTTTTGGCTAGTAGGTTGTCAATTATCATCTAAATACCTTGTTAATAACCCAGACTGTCTGCTGATAGGTTGTCCATTATCATCTGAATACCTTGTTAATAACCCAGACTGTCTGCTAATAGGTTGTCAATTATCATCTAAATACCTTGTTAATGACCCAGACTGTCTGCTAATAGGTTGTCAATTATCATCTAAATACCTTGTTAATAACCCAGACTGTCTGCTAATAGGTTGTCCATTATCATCTGAATACCTTGTTAATAATCCAGACTGTCTGCTAGTAGGTTGTCCATTATCATTCAAATACTGTAAGCTTCATTTCAACTAAAACTGGATCAAGGAAACACAATTCACGTTCTACTTAAAACATATATATTATTAAAATATGGATTACTTTCTAAGATTTTATGCTATATTAATTGGTATAACACAAACAAAAAGTAGTTTAATAAAATTTTGAATGTAAGTCACTAAAACCTTGTGTCATGCACAGTAAAGGATACCCATGTCAATAGGGTTAACAGTTATATTATTCTGTTCTTCTTCCACACATATTTTTTGTGCGGAAATAATAACAAAGAAAACTGTTAATTAGCACTGAGTTCAGTTTATAAGCATATATCATTTCCATATTTCATAAACAACAGTTTCATATCTGGTCACTAGATGGCAGCAACATTTTTTCTAATGCATTGACTGTTTGTGACTTTTCATAGCACAAACATGGTATCTGTCAAAACAATTTCAGTGAAAATAAATAAATATATAAATAAAGAATAATCTAAACTAATATTCAAGGTATCAAGGAGATCTGTATACATTTTATTGATGTCTAAGTTTAAAAACACAAGTTTCTTAATTATCAAAACAATACATTATATAGTGGTCTACTTTTCTTCGAAATTTCAGTGGGGCTGAGTCTGGAAGCTTTGTGCATATGCATGGTATCACACTTGATGGCCTGGAATCTATATGATGTCATCCCTTTTAATTGACAAGACTCTAGCATGTGGTGGAGTTGATTGTACGCACATGCAGTGAGTTGGGGTGAAGTTGGAAGATGAGGGTTCTGTAAATATCCTTTAACTTCAGTACAGTGCACCAGGGTACATCTACCATCCTGAAGGAACCATTCCAGCTTCATTGCCCCCCCCCCTATGTAATCCGAGAAACTGACAAAACTGATATGATATTAACAATATATATTACCATTGAATTATAAAAATAAAACAAATGTTCAATTATCAACCTACTTAAATGTAATTGTTTAAAAAAAAAAAGGGAAACAAGTAATAAACACAATTTTTGCAAAAATTAAGTAATAGGTAGGGATGAATACACAAAAACATACAAAAATCCCTATACAAGTAGCTAGTAAGTACTGAATCAATCTTACAAGCTTATGGTTATCAACCACTATAAGACTGTATAGCATTATTCAGTTTAAATGCTTTTATTCAAATCTGAATCCATGCATTTGACAGAAGTTCAACATTTAGTTGTAGAAAAAATGTTATTCTTGGAAAGATCTGGCTACTTATATTGTGATTTTTTGTATGGTTTTATGTATTCATCTCTACCTTGTTTCTGTACTTTTTGGCATTGGCATCCCTACAACATAATTAATTTTAAAAAAAAATTTCATTACTTATTTTGTTTTAGAATTCTGCAGAAACCTATAAAAAATTATCTACACAAAGCCATTTCTGTTTAATGGCGACTGATAGTATAGGGGGTAAGGCAGCTGGTCAACAGTGCTCACTTCCCATTATTGGGCTACTCATATCTGATCCAATAGTGGGATATTGACAATCATTCTTATATCATACCCATGATCCAAAGTTATGGAATACATTTTGCAGCAATGGGCTACAAGTTATGAATCCTTGGACATGCTAATCACTAGATCGTGCACAGTTCACCTGTATTATTACAAAAAAGTTAAAACAGAACAATTTATACTTACAGGATTTTTCTTCCCATGCATCTCTTGTAACCATTTTTCTGGAGCCTAATTTTGGTAAAAAAAAGCATATATTGAAAACAAATATTAAAATAACTATCTCTCATAATAACTAATTATATACGATCAGTTTACCTGCATAACGTTCACTTTGATAGAAAATCAAAATTCATCAAACATTAGGAAAAATACATTAGATAGAGTTCAAGTACTTCAATGTAAGAAAAGCTGTGACCTTTGAACTTGTAGCCATGTGTTGTTATTTCATTAGTTCTTTTGTCTTACACATTACATAACTGAAGACATGTAAGAGTGATCCTTGTCTATTTTCAAGGTATTAAATTTTATATTTTTAGAATTAAAATGAATTTCAACTAGGTACTTAACTCTGAAATATTGTGGGCCTTCCCTTATTGAGTTTGTTCTCATGCTGTTAACAAATATATATGACTCAAAATTCTAAACATTATTTACAAATTTCAGTGCATACATCACTTACCCATAACCCTCTACTCTGCCATCTTCCATGTGCTTTATTATATAAGTGTCAAGAGACCTTACAAAAGCTCTGCCTTACTGGCTTAATTCAGACGTTTTGAAAGTTGTAGTTGTAATGAAAACCACATATAGCTTGGATGTGGGGAAGAGAGTGGGAAAGTACTTCAACAGTATCTATTTTAAATTCATTTTAACTCTAAAAAATGTAAAATTCAAATTGGATAACCTTTCCTTTCAAATACTATAGGCAAGAATACTCACACTGAAAAAAAAGGTGGTAACCAGTGAGTGCAAAAAATGATATCAAAACAGTTATAAATCTACAAGTTACAGTACAAGAAGAAAATAATATAAACTACAATAAGGGTGTACTTGTGCACACTAATATCAGGATACAGGACCAGAAAGATTTGAAGACTGGATTTGATTGAAATTCATTGTAGGAGACCAGCCTTACATAAAGACTGTGTTTAAAGACACTGAGAAATAAGGCAATTGTTTCAGAAGGGTACACACTACTAGCAGGATACAGAACCAGAAAGATTTGACGACTGGATTTGATTGAAACTGACTGGACCAAAAAAGCCTTATATAAGGAATGGGTTTAAAGACACTGATGAATAAGGCATTTATTTCAGAAGGGTACACACTGCTCTTGGCACCCTACAGATTGTATGAAAATTAAGGTACGTTTTGTGCTACTTGTGGAACCAATGACAGGAACACTGGTTAGTTAAACCAAAAAAACAAAAATTAGAAAATAAAATGTCCCCATTGTAAAACAAGACCAAAAATGTTAAATAGCATAAAAAAAAATCTAAAAACACAATCAATCTGGAGAGTATTACATCTTCAATGACATTGTCCAATGTCAAAGACAAACAAACCAAAAGATAAAACATTAAAAATGATTCCATTGCTGGTGGTCATAGCAAAGACACAAAATGAAAATTTGGGCAGTTCTGATTTCAGTGTCACAATAGACACAAATTGCAATCAGTTTCTTGTAAAAGAAACTGATGTGTAAGGAAACTGTGGCCAATGTTGAGCCTTATCAGGAAAATTTTCTCCCTCTGGTTCCTGCGTAAAAGAGACAGACAGACAAATACAAAAGACTTTATCTGAAAAAAGGTTGTTTTGAGGTTGCACACAAAAAAATAACTGCCAAGTGGCATGAAGCCTTGCTTTGGTGACAGGTCTGAAGTCCATATAAAAAGCTTTGACTACGATCTACTTACATTGCATATAGGTATGTGACTTTCGTCAAAGTGCTTTATAAAAATGAAACTAGTTGATGAAATAGTTTTAAATTTGACTTGAACAGTCCTAAGATTATGTATTTTTAGAAAAATAAAATATTTAATTTAGATTTTTTTACTATTTATAATAAAACATTCATTATTTAATGTAGTTATTTGCACTCAGACTCTGAATGTTTCACCTGCAGGGTGATTTTCATTTTGAGTATAAAAATACTATTTGTTATCTCTCAGTTTTTACATTTCATTTGCATAATTTCTAGAACCTCTTAAAATATCAAAAGTTTTTTAAGGTAAACGTTTATATTTTGTTTTCCATTTTCTCTGTTATATCATTAACTCCAGATATCATCATCAACGTACATATTACTAATTGTACATATCATCATCAATGTAAATAAAATGTTTAAAGTTAAGAAATGAAAGTAAGTACATACCTTTTAAATTTTTGAAGAATAGTTTAAATATTTCTTTTTGTCATATTCATAATTTCAAGTCTTTATCTTTTCACTTGTGGTTTATTTTTAATTTTCCTTTCCAATTGTTTGTCTTTTATTCATTATCTCGCACACGCAAATGACACCATCTTGATTAGACATTTTGGTAAGCCAAACTACTACAAGTTAAATGTATCAAAATCATAAACATTTCAAATATGCATTTTAAAACACAAATAAATACACAATTAATTAAGATAAAAATGTAAAACCTAAATGCAATGTAACTGTTTAGCAAACTAATACATATAAGGTGAGAAACACTTGCCAAACATTACATACCCCTCAAGAGAACAATGGACTAAGATTATTTTCTATTTCATATTACAGATCCATACATAGGTAGAGATTTCTTCAGGATATAACTGAATAGTGCAAAATCTACTCTTTCTATTGGTTATAAACATGCCATTCAACTTCAAAGTGTCACACCTTTGACTTTGCAAGTGAGCATGGCTGACCTTAAACTTAGAAATATTAGAATGTTGTTTCACACTAGGAGAAATTCTTGGAAGTTTTCCTCCCAGCTAATGAGAGACAGCTGGAACTGTACTTTGACCATCTCTACTGACAGTCTATATTAGCTACTCATAGTTTCTTATGTAAGACCACTTAAACTTGAGAATTTTAACCACAGTGGATCATGTGATAACAAAAACTGCAGTTTTAATTGCTGTTTCAGATTTTTCTTTTAAAAATAAAGGAATAAAACTTAGATAATATAAAACCCTAAAATACATTTACAGAAAAGTGGTTTAATTCAATTTTGAATTTAACTCATTAAAATCTCATGACATGTGCAGGAATCCAGAAAAACTGAGTAGATGTAGATTATAAAGAGAAATGGGCCAACTGTTTCTGAATATCCAAGACAAGTGGGTGAGAACTGGCATGATTCCAAAGCCATCAATAAACTAAGCAAGTAACTAAAGACAGTACACTGAATATATTGCTTAGCTTCTACATGATCCAGAGCAAGTGAAATAGCATACAACTCAGGAGATCCATCAAGCAACCACAGAGCCATGGCAGATCCCACAGAGCCCTCCACTTTTGAACCATCCATAAAAATGTGAATAGAGGAATGATCTGAAAAGTGTTCATTAAAGAGAAGACAGTATTTCCAGTTAGGATTATCCAACTTCTTACAACTAATTAAAGAAACATCACAAGAGGGGGATGGTAACAAGTCATGGTGTGATCAGCCAATCATTGAATTCTGCAATGTAATTCAATGTCAAACACATCTCAGTCAACTGGGCCTGGAAGCAAAGGCTAAAGGTAAGAATAGCAGACCTTCTATGTGAAAGTTAACATCTTCCTAAACTGAAAATGTATTTCCAATAATACTTACCTCCACTGACACTATAGCTATTTCTCGATCTCCAGGGTTTCTACCCTTTGCTCATCTAAGCATTTAAAATACTTGTTATAGTCTTTTATACTCCACTTGAATGCCCTTGGTAAATTCTAATTTACAAATTCTTCCACCAACTTCATTGTGTCCTCTATCTAGGTACTGTATATAAACACCTCGTTCAGATAATGTAATCACTTTTTGATATATAAGCCAGCTTTTAGTAGAGAGGTAGGGTGGGAAAGTGTCAGCAGAGGTAAGTATTATTGGAAATACATTTTCAGTTTAGGAAAATGATAACTTCCAAAACATACTTACCTCCGCTGACACTATAGCTAGAATCCCACATTGAGTCGGTGGAGGAGCCGGTGCAGGCATGAACCATACAGAAAGCATCTGTATGGAATAGAAGTGTACCAAGATAAAGATGGTACAAGAATGGGGGAATCACACTACATCCAGAACAGGTATGCTTTTCACCAGGAACTCAGTTCCTATATCAAAGGTGGAATAGAATATGAGTAACTGTCAGTATAGGCCAGCCCCAACCAGATAATTGAGGTTCTACAACTCGAGGGTTGGAATTAAGGGGTTGTGGTACTTATATCCCATGTTGGTTGCTAGGGCTATTGGACTGCAATGTTATATATATTTTTGATTGGATCCCAACCTGTAGCCTTAGAGTGATGCATTTCACACCTCCGGAATCACAACAAGAAGGTATGCAACACTGAAGTGGACAAACTTTCTCTTCCACCTGAAGAAGTCCAAAAGGCAACATCCCAGGCTTGGAATGGTGGGATTGTGTATGCCATACTCAGTTAAAGGAACAGAAGTCATCTGGTTTGGAATTATGAACATTCATTCTCAATCCCACCCAAGTGAGCAAGGAGTATTCCAGTTGCCCCTGGA